GCGTGTTGCCAGTGATGACTTACGGATCTGAGACGTGTTCCTTCACTGCTGGCCGTATGAGGACGCTCAAGGTCGCTCAGCGAGCTATGGAGAGGGCTATACTCGGAGTTTCTCCGCGTGATAGACTCAGAAATGAGAATATCCGCAGTAAAACCAGAGTGACCGACATAGCCCAACGGATTAGTAAGCTGAAGTGGCAATGGGCCGGCCATATAGCTCGAAGAACCGATAACCGATGAGGAAGAAAGGTTCTCGAGTGGCAGCCTCGTACCGGTAGGCGTAGTGTAGGGCGACCCCCCCACTAGATGGAGTGAAGACCTGGTAAGATATGCAGGAAGTCGATGGATGCAGGTGGCTCAGGACCGTGCTTTGTGGCATTACTTGGGGGAGGCCTATGTTCAGCAGTGGACTTGTGAAGGGCTGTAATGACGATGATGATGAATTTACTTTTTTAACAAACTTCAAACAGGGAGGAGGTACTCAGTCCGACTGTATGTTTTTTTTCTGTTACCTCAGAATGTTTTTATAGGTGAATTGATTTTGCTGATTCTTATTTTATTTGAAAGCTGATGCTTTTCATGTGCTCCTATGTACATTTGATCAAGATCTGAGCAGTTTTTTTTGAATTGTCCTTAACAATACGTATTTACTTGAGTTCAGTTCTCATTTTATTTATATTGAAGTCGGTTGTACAAAAATTTTAATTTTATCACTTGTAAATTATAAAAGTAAAGTTACAGCCTTCTCTCATTTCTGAGATCATTATGCATCGATTATTGCTCCACACTGCTCTATTAGTGGTGGTAGACTGCACTTGTTCTCGAATTATTTTATTTCTCGGACTTGCAGGATTCCTCTCGATGTTATCAAGCAAGCAAGCGCTTAGTCTCCGAGCTACCATAACTCACTTGCTATCTATATTTTAATAACATTATTCTATTCTATTCTGTTCGTATCTTTTCATGGAAACAATACTCCGTGAATAGTAAAACGAAAATTATTCTTATATATAAGTAATAGGGAAAAGTAATTAGAGATTTGAAATAAAATAAGTAAAGTACGTGCGGGTAATGTGGTCACCCGGTTAATATGGTCACTTTCTTATAATTCTCAAAAACTACAGCCTTGTCATCAGTCAGTTAATCAAATAAAGGGTCAAAAAAGCTCCCTACTTTATGGACGACATTATAACAGTTGGAATTATAGCAAATATTTTAGTAGATTTTAGTATGGTGTAATGTAGTTAGTTTTTTTTTTAAGTTTTTTTTCGAAGTGTTCATAATTATTGCCATAGCTTGTTTTTTTTTAAATATATATAGTTCTAGTATACGAATTTGTGTTTTTGTCTCTGTCCTCCTTCCAGTTTTAGTATAGGGCGGCAAAGCTTAAAGTAAACATACTACCCTCACGTACCTTAATTGTAAATTAAAGAATAAATACCAGCCAAATCACTTGGCTTTCGAGAAATAATAGTAATATCACATATTATTACATGTAATGTACACACGCCCTACCCATACTGTAAAATTACTGTAAAAAGCTTTACCTATAAATGTAAAGTAACAGTTGACATACATTTTACATCTAGGCACAGGCCTTTCGTTTATTCAGCTGCATGCAAGTCTAGTTTCGAAATTACTTTTTACCGTCCAATGCAACATGAATGTGCTAATTTTTATGCGCATTTAGCACTTAAAATTAATAATTTTAGTGGTGCCGGCGGAGGCCGAATTTTTTTAAGGTGAAAACGTCTTTAGAATCGTTGTAGAAACGTAAAGGTAGCATATAGAACGATTAGTTTTATGTGTGAAAAAAAAAAAAAAAAATTTTTGGTTTTTTAATTGGGGGTATAAAAATTTAATAAGTTTTTTTTTTTTTTTTTTTTTTTTTTATAGTAAGAGAGAATTTTTTTTTTAAACCCACCAGACAGCGGGGGGGCGGAGAAAAAAAAAAAAAAAAAAAAAAAAAAATAAAGCGAGATACTAAAGAGGCAAACATATTATACATCTATAGGATTTAGCCTGCGAGAGAATGAGATATAATACAGTATACAGTGTTTCCCATTATCTCAGCCCTTTAGTTAAGCAGGCGCTTAACTACAACCCCACCTGATGGAAAGGGGTGATGTAACCTAGGATGGTGAAGCGCACTGACTTAACAAAAGCCTATTCACTCCTGTCTTGAAGACACCCACATTGTAATCGGTCACTTCTTTGCTGTACGCATGACGAGCGATGTAGAAAACCGTTTGGTTCGAATGAGTAGTAAGGCAACAACGAAAGGGTGGAGACTGTGGTAGGGGCAGGAAGAATTTAAGTTATGTATTTCCTGTGAACTCTTTGAAATGCATCCTGTAGAAAACCAAAAGGCTGGCCTACTTTGCGCCTGTGTTCGAGACTGGTAAGATTGATTTCAACCAGATTCAGTGTCACAAACGAGTGACAAACGAGCACACAGTCCACCTGATGGTAAGTGGTTGCTGTGGCCCATAAACATTTACGTTTATCCTCGATTACGAATCAAAATGCAGATGCGTTGTCACCCGTCAGGACTAAGATGGAATGGCTCGTTTGCAGTAAAAAGGGTCTCCGGTTCTCTACATTCACCATACGAAACACAGCAACATTAAGCTACTATTTTACGCTGGTATTCTGTGAGAGTGTGGTCCTTCCCGGTCGAGCCGACCCATTCATGCTACAACTATACTACTAATATAACCGCAGCATAGCTCTAACACGTATAATATTGCCGCGAAAATACCAAAGATGTTTATGGTAGTCGCACAAGACTATGCTTTTGCTTAAGCATTCCTCACACTAAGGTACTCAAAACTTGAAGCGGCAGCAAAAGACAAAGAAGTAAATCAGCAGATGTCACAACTTCAGTACCCACGTGTTTAATTTGTGTGATTAAGTTGATTCGAGAATGGTTTAGATTCACAACTGGACCTTGACTGCACAACCTTTTACTCATAACTAAGCTTAAAAATTATGAGTATAAGGTTGGTAAATTCTTTCATATGTTTTTCTCATAAAAGTAATCAATCAGTGAGTAAGTAAAACGTCTCATGAAAGGGAAATTTCTTATCACTTATATAATTTTTACTTAAAACACATTCTGAAGATAACTGGCAAACTTAAACGGTTTTGTAAGTTTTTTTTAAGTTATTGTATTTTTTAAATTTTAATTTCTATTTTGAATAAATATATAGAAAATCAGCAATTTTTTTGTTCTTTTATAATAATAATAATAATGTTTATTTCAGATATACATATCCAAACACATTTATTAGTAATTTACATAAACTATATTAGTAAAAAAGTATAATAATAAAATAAGGATAAAATAAATTATATCAATAGAACGAGAGCAATCATTTAAGAAACTTCAATGTTCCACTCACATGCATTAGGATCCAATGCCTCTGAATGGGACTGTCAAGCCTGTCTTGAAATAACCTCAAGATACTATTTGAGCTCTTCCGTAGTCTACATAACATTGACGCAGTTCGTTTTCTTAAGATGCCATAAAAATCATCAACACCTGTTTCAGCAAACATGCTTGAAGCACTACATAGTCCAGGAAGGCCCATTAGCATCCTGAAGGCATTGTTATATTGAATTCGAAGCGCATTGTAGGTCCTCTGCGTGTAGTCACACCACAGGCTGCAGGTGTAAAATGTTTGACAGTACGCCTTGAAGAGGGTTATTTTTACGTCATTTGTACACCTAACAAACCTTCGGGCAAGCATATTACATAGAACCTCCATGCGCGTCGCTCTTTCTCTATAATAACATTGTTATCTGTCAGATATTCGTTAAAGGTTAACAATGTGTCACAAATATTTAAATTGACAAACTACTTAATGGCACACCAAGGAGTTTTACTAGCGGCACAATCAAGGGTTTCTTACTGTTAACACGAAACACCGTAGCGATGGCTCATAGTTATACTAAATGACCTACAAAAAGATTTACATAAAGTTAAGTCAAAATATATAAATTACTAAATCTGTATTCAATAGATGGCCATTAACTTTGTATTAAAATAACACTTACTAAATCCACCAATAACTCACTTTTCTTGGTGTTATAGATGAGCCCATGTTCAGCAGCGTATGTTTCATACACAGATAATAGTCTACGCAACGCACTCACCGATGGACTCAGCAACACCATTTCATCGGCACTACTTATATTAGTAATCATATGACCGTCTACAGAACATCCTACCCTTGTTTCACTGAGTGAAATGCTTATTGAAATTCATTTTTTATTTTCACTGGTTCGCAAAAAAACTCTGTCATGGGAAGAACCAGCAAGAAACCCAGCGGGAATTTTTTTAAACATTTTTAAATTTACAATCAATTTATTTTGTTACAATTTTCGAATGATTTTTATAGAACCAGCATGGTGGCGATCACCTCATTCCCAGGGGTTATTTTCATTTATGTATTCATTTATATTATGATAACCCTTTTTGTACAATTTAAAACATTTAAACTTGTTTAATGACAAATTTTGTAACATACTTATTCTGGGATTTTGTTGTAAAATCGTATACATTGCCCCATAAATGAATTACTAATTCTGTGGAGTCTCGTAACTGGTATTACAAGCTTATGTTTGCTCCTAGTGTTTAAAGTATGTACATCTTTATTCTTATAAAAGTTATTTATGTTTGATTATTGCAATTTAAAGGTTTTGAGTACTTTTAATATTATTTATCAACAATTTCGACGACGTATTACAAGATTTGCATAAGGGTGCCACTTGAATATGTGAGTTATTCTTGAAATTTGGTTATTATATTTTGCTATTAAGTAAGGTTATAAATGCGATCTTGTTGGAATGATTGTAACTATCATAGCCAATCGAATTAGCGTGAATCTTAAGAGTGCGCACCTAAATAGTGCGCATGCGCACTTTTAGGTAGTATCTCATGGGGAACAAAGTAGCTTTTTTAATTATTTTTCTTTTGTTTTTTTATAGATCGCAAATATGTCAAGTCATATAAGAAAATCAGATAGAAAATTGGTATTTACTGAAGAAATTTTAAAAGATGCAAAGGAAAGAATACGCCGTGAGCAAAGTCAAAGATCAGTTGCAGAGTCTTTGAATGTCCCAGAATCGACTCTAAGAAAAAAACTAAAACCTTGCTTGTCCTTGCTCTTTAGGTAGATTTTCAGATGTATTTACTCCTGAGTTCTAATTACTGTCACCGGCAGTGCTCTGCCCAGTTACTGTCTACAGTAACTTGGCAGAGCACTGCCGGCGCTTGGATTCATGTTTTTATGGTCTGTCGAAGAAGGAGCTAGGAAGAGTCGCTTATGATTTAGCAAATAAAAACGGTCTTAATCATAGATTTAATAATGATAAAAAGGAAGCTAGCAAGAAATGGGTCGAAAACTTTGCCGAGCGGCATAACTTCAGTCTCCGTCAACCTGAAAAAACAAGTTTGGCACGTGCTGCAGGATTCAATCGTGTACAAGTGCAACGATTTTATGATAATTTAAAACAAGTACTTACAACCTTCAAATTTGTTAGCAGACAAATTTTCAACATTGATGAAACTGGCCTGCAGACAGAGCCAAACAAGTTACCTAAAGTTTATGCTAAAAAAGGCAAGAAAATTGTAGGAAAAGTTGTGTCCGCAGAACGTGGACAAACAGTAACGGCTGTTTGCTGCATAGGTGCTACTGGAATATTCGTACCACCTGCATTCATTTTTCCTAGAAAGCGGCAAAAACCCGAATTGATGGATGGAGCTCCAGAGGACTCCCTGCAGCTTGTATCCGATTCTGGTTATATGAACTCAGATCTATTTATAATCTGGCTTAATCATTTCATTAAGATGGTCAAGCCATCTAAAGATGAACCTGATCTTTTGATTTTAGATAATCATTCATCTCATTTAAGTTTACAGGCTATTGAATTAGCTAGGGATCATGGAGTTGTTCTTTTGAGCTTAGCACCACACACAAGCCATCGCATGCAGAGTTTGGATACAGGATTTTTTGGACCATTAAAAAAAGCTTATGCAGTTGCATGTGACAATTAGCAAGTTTCAAATCCAGGTCGTGCTATAACTCAATATCAAGTTGCTAGACTATTTGGCACTGCATACCTTAAGGTTGGTTCAATTGATAGAGCTAAGAAATCATTCGAATCTTGTGGCATCTGGCCTTTTAACGATCAGATTTTTTCCGATGAAAATTTTGCTCCTGCATATGTCACTGACCGTCCCAATCCAATTGCAGAAACTTCAAGTACAGGCGAAGCCCTTAATAGTTCAAATTTAGCTGTTGAATTGCCACTTACAACTACAGAAACTGTTACTCGAGTTGTCTCGTCACCTATACCCGTCAATTTTAATATTTCAGCTCCAGATATAGCATTGTCTCAACTCGGAGGAACCGAAACCCTTGAATCAACTGATAATCACCAGGAAGTAATAACAACAACAGAAAATGACGAGCCAACACCATCCAAATCATATTTTCTTAGACCAGAAGACATCTTACCATTACCAAAGTCAAACATTCAGAAAAAAAGAAACATAAAACGTAAGAAATCAGAAATCCTTACCAGTTCTCCTTATAAAAATCAAATAGAAGCAGAACAAAAAGGGCCAAGAAGACAAAGAAGACATCAAATAAAAATAAATCTACGACACCAAATAGACCGACACTGCTGGAAACAAGTACGGGTACAGAAGTTGTTCGATGCCCCCTTTGTGCCGAAGTCTACGTAGAACCTCCAGATGAAGACTGGATCCAATGTAGTCAGTGTGGGGCTTGGTGGCACGATGAGTGCTCTGACTATCTAGGATTCGGAGTTTTTAAGTGTGACGTTTGCCTTGGTTAAAGTAGATGTTCCACCATGGACAAAGCTTCCATTACCCTCATGCGTACTCTTAACTAGTACTAAGAGCCATGGATGCGCACTCTTTAAGTCATTGTACCTTAAGAGTACGCGTGAGACACGTCCTTGTTTTTATTAATTATTAAATATTAATGGATGTTGATTAATAATAAGAGTAAAAAAAGTGTTCCTAAAGAACCAAAGCCTAATTATAATTAAAATTGAAGACTGAACTCAAAAGTTGATTATTTTAAAAATAAATCTGTCAAAACTGCGCACTCTTTGGTATCTTTACCCTACATTACATTTTCGTAAATATATTGTGATGCCAAAGTTAATATGTTTATTTCCTTAATATTTTATCTAAGGGACTCTACAATTTAGGTTATAAATCGCCCGTACGGCTCTCTTTTGCAAAACAAATATGACTTCAATGTCAGTCACATTACCCCATAGTAAGATTCCATAAGTCATTACGCTATGAAAGTAACTAAAATAAACTAATCTAGCTGTCTCAACATTGGTTAGACTTTTAATCTTTTTTTTTTCTTATAGGAAAATGGTGACAAGCAAGCACACAGTCCACCTGATGGTAAGTGGTTGCTGTGGCCCATAGACATCCACATCTATCATCGTTTGCGAATCAAAATGAAGATGCGTTGTCAGCCTTGAGGACTAAGATGGAATGCCTCTTTTCCAGTAAAAAGGGTCTCGATACGAAACACAGCAGCATTAAGCTGCTATTTGACGCTAATATTCTATGAGAATACCAGCGTCAAATAGCAGGTATTCTTTCTTACAGCATATGCTGCAGAACTAAGTCTGTCTGCTAATTTAGATATATGGGGGCCCCATTGAAGCTTCGCGTCAATAGTAATACCAAGAAAAACAGTGGTATCCACAAGACTCAATTCTTTCTCATTTAAGAGCACATTGGTATTTGATTGTTTAACATTAGGTATTGAAAATTTAATACATTTTGTCTTGTTGCCATTTAAGAGTAAATTATTAGCGTTAAACCAATGTACTAGTTTCGATAGAGCATTATTTACATTGACAATATTAATTGACTGCCGATTGAATTTGAAAATTAAAGAGGTATCATCAGCAAATAATACTATATCGCAATTGTCCCCTAGATAAGGTAAGTCATTAATATAGGCTAAGAACAGGAATGGGTCAAGAATCGAGCCCTGAGGAACGCCCATTGATACTACTGATCCGGAGGAACCTTTACCATTGATAACGACGTTTTGAGTTCTGTTATATAAATATGAAATAATAAGTCTAAGTGCAATATTTTTGACACCGTACTGTTGTAGTTTCCTGATTAATATTTCAAGATGAACGCAATCGAAAGCCTTGGAAAGATCACAAAAAATACCTAAGGCATCTAGTGAACTCTCCCAGGCATTAAAAATATATTTCATAAGCTCAACACCTGCGTCAGTCGTCGAGCGACCCCTTGTGAAGCCAAATTGATTTTTATGGAGTAATTTTATTTTATTAAAAAATTAACAATTGATCTAAAATTATCTTTTCAAAATGTTTACTGAAAGTTGGTAGTACAGAAATAGGTCTAAATTTAGCGGGGTCCAATGTATTACCAGATTTGAATATAGGTATTACTTTACTATGTTTAATTAAATTAAGAAACACACCAGATTCGATACAAGTACTAAAAATAATAGCAAGGTGAGATGCAATTAAATCTATTATGGACCCAATGACTGTAACGGAAATCTCCCATAAATCTGCGGTTCTTTTAACATCAAGCGCACCAATGTGCCCGTTTACGTAGAGACTGAACGGCACAGGTGAAGACAACCCCCCCTGGCTCACCCCGCAATCCAATAAACATTCGTTGGATAACTCGCCAGACCATCTGACCTGACCTGACTTTTATGATATTTAAAGTGGTGATAAGTTCAGCTGGAATGGATAATTCATTCAGTTTTGTCTATAGTATGTCATAATTAACCAGGTCTAGGTCTTAACTAGGTCAGGATAGACAACCCAAAAATAAAAAGAACCATGTTCAAATTTCCCCACCACACGAGATATGTGCAGGTGGGCTGACTATAGATGGAGTTAGTAGGTATACATCACATTTTTTATAGCTTATATGAAGTTGTGGTTCTTCTCCGCTAGGAATAATAGTGTTCTGTGGCTAGTACTTCTTATTATATAGTTTATGGGCGTAGTGTAAGCTTAATTACATACTCTACAGTACTCTGAGAACGTAAGAGTATCCATACTTTGTGGAATCCATAGATAACCTAATATTATCAGGTGAGAGAATCAATCAATCTTTTCATTTCGCAGGTGTCGGGTAAGCCCCGCACGTTGATATTGAGTTGGAACCTTTTACGCAATAACAGCTGCGTGACGCCATCCACTGCAAAAAAGTTAATCTTCTTTTCATGCAAGGTGTTGCCACCTCTGGTGAAAAAAGTTAATAACCAAGGGTTTTGGTATTTATATTATATACGCATATTTATAGGTATTTAATTATAAATACTTCCTAATAAATTACCTACTATATACCATATAATAAACGTGAAAGAGGTCTTTTCTGTTTGATACATTTTCATTAACTCTTTCAACCAATTTTAACCCTTAAAAGTCCGAAGTCTCCATTTGGATCCTTAAATGTCTCCTTGTAGACCGCGCCAAAGAGTATACTAACATTTAAAGGGATTAAAACCAAAGAGTATATGATCACTAAGTTTACTCGAAACCATAGATAAGAGTGCTCAGGACGATTCTTTTTTTTTTAATATTATTCTTAAAGAATATAATTCTTAAAGAATTTTATTCTTATAAATAACATTTAAAAATAATTATAAAAGAATTATATTAAAAGAATTATATTAATAAATAGTTCACATATAGGTTAACTTAAAAACTTGGTAATATTAAGTTGCTGAAAGACACGCTGTACTTAAAAAATTATATGCGTGTTATGATATTCAGTGGAATCTCTATAACTCGAACCTTGTTAAGTTAAAATCCTCAGTAAGTCGAAAAAAAATGCCATTCCCTTCCGCTGAACCCCTAAATACGCGGTATCTCGAATTATTAGACTTTGTAACTCGAACATAATGTTATTTCCCTACGAAATATTGATAATAGATATTTATGCTCTATAACTCGAATTTCAAAAAGGAAACTCCGTAAGTCGTAGTTAGTAAACAATAATGACGTCTTACTTGGAATTCCCCGAAACAATAGCAATAATGATGCGGCTACACTAACGAGCAACGTCAATGCCCATAACAACAATTATTGCCTTAAATTTAACGCGATAAAATGAGTGGCTACACTTGAACGGTCAACGTCGTTTCCCGTTTAACGGCATTAAATTTGCCGTTGAACGGCGTTAAATTTGCCGTTGAACGGCGTAAAATGTTTCGACCGGGGAAGGACCACGCTCTCACAGAATACCAGCGTAAAATAGTAGCTTAATGCTGTTGTGTTTCGTATGGTGAGTGTAGAGAACCGGAGACTCTTTTTACTGGAAACGAGGCATTACATCCTAGTCCTCACGGGTGACAACGCATCTGCATTTTGATTCGTAATCGAGGATAGATATGTAGATGTCTATGGGCTACAGCATCCACATACCATCAGGTGGACTGTGTGCTTGTTTGTCACCCTATCCTATAAAATAAAAAATAAACAAATAAAAAGAAGATTGTGGATGCTACAAATGCACAGGAAACGTACACTGTAAATCTATTTATATTTATTTTGTTTTCCCGCACCCAAATTGCACTTGAAAGACGTAAATAACAAGACAAATGTAAATATATTTTAATGAAATAATAACTAATAAGCCAATCATAAATACTGGCCAAGTGCGAATTAGATCCACGTACCCAGGGTATCGTACCACAGTACACTATGAATTTTGGCCTGCAAAAATTGTTTTTTTTTCTCCTGCTTATTTTTCTTAGTTTCATACCGTAAATTAAAGTACTTTTGAAATATTTTTTTTTAATTCAATTTCGAAAAGCTTTTTCATTATTCCACTCCATCGCAGCCATACGTGCAACCCCGTGGCACTCACCGTGCGCAATGAGACAAACGTAGTGTGGCCGCTTCAACGCGATAATTCGCGCGTTAATCCTTTGATGTACCGCCTCTCTGATGTATCACCACTCGAGTTATCGGCAAACGGGAAACGGCATTGTTAATGGCGTTGTCAAATTATCGCGTTATTTCGTGGCCACACCTGCATCCAACGTCCATCAACGCGATAATTAACGGCATTTCTCCTTAGTGTGGCCGGGCCATAAAATCCGGGTTCTTAAATCGTAAAGTAGCTGCCGCGTCACCTGCCGAGCGTCGGCCGATTTTTATTTTTGGATACATAGGCTGCACTAAAAGTATCGGGAATGGAATATTTCCACTGTTCCTGTCATATTAAAATATATATATATATTATTTAAATATATAAATGTAGGCCGCTTCAACGCGGCCACACTACGTTTGTCTCATTGCGCACGGTGAGTGCCACGGGGTTGCACGTATGGCTGCGATGGAGTGGAATAATGAAAAAGCTTTTCGAGATTGAATTAAAAAAAATATTTCAAAAGTACTTTAATTTACGGTATGAAACTAAGAAAAATAAGCAGGAGAAAAAAAACAATTTTTGCAGGTCAAAATTCATAGTGTACAGTGGTACGATACCCTGGGTACGTGGATCTAATTCGCACTTGACCAGTATTTATGATTGGCTTATTAGTTATTATTTCATTAAAATATATTTACATTTGTCTTGTTATTTACGTCTTTCAAGTGCAATTTGGGCGCGGGAAAACAAAATAAATATAAATAGATTTACAGTGTACGTTTCCTGTGCATTTGTAGCATCCACCATCAATT